TTTGATTGGGAAAATTGCCGCAAGGTCCCCTTAACAGTTTAACGGTACTTTCATAAGAGAAAATGATTCATTATTAAGAATTGTCGCCTATGGCACCACATATATTTTATATAAATCGGGAAGAGGCTGCAAATATGTTGCGCCATTTAACAAATATGACCGCAAAAAGGAAAGAAAAGAATGGAAAGAGAGGAAAGTAAAGGAAGAAAGAAAATAACATATAAATATAATAGTTTATATTCGACTTAGGTCGAGTCAAAACTCAACGTTTAATGACTTGCTGACTTATTAAATGTAATATGCACGGAAAGAATTTCGAGACGTCTGCTATGTCGCTTACCGCGCATGACTTGTACTTCTAGTCCCAGTCACCTGATATACAGGAATCGCGCGAACAGATGTATGAAAGTGGGGGATATCACCTGTCTCGAAAAAATGCACGTCTCATGTGCATAAGTCAAGACAAGAGAAGTTTCGTTCGCATGAGGATCGTGCGTTTGCGTCACCGAGTAGAAAGACACCACGTGAGCATAGGCCCGAACTAACAGTTGCGCCGAAACCAGAACGTTTGATGTCTCGAAAATGCACACCACATGTGCATAGTGAAGGGACATCCCATGCCACGTAGTTCTCGAAGCGTCCGCACAGCAGACGTCTCAAAATTCATTCTGTGTGGGTGTCGAGTTTCACGCTGCTAAGTGAGGCTGTGCAGCAGTTCCCGGAAATGACTTGAGGACTAAGAATTCAAATTTTGATTTTTGAACTAGGTCGACCTGGGTAAACCAAGAATTATATATATGGGTCATTCCACGTGAAAAGGCAAATGGATTTGTCCACTCGTGGTTTAAAGCAATCGCAAAGTCTTAGGACTTAAAATTTAGCATTTTTTATGTAGAATCGAATACCGAGTGGCTGATTTTAAAATTTTCAAAATGGCGGCCACCACAGGCTGGAATGTGACGTAAAAAAAGCTGTTTTTTAATTTAAATTGGAAAAACTTTTACATTTTTAGACAAAAATTATTCAAAACAACTACTTTTCATATTTGTGAGTTGACAGAACACAAACATATGGTCAGAACTAAAAAATCCAAAATGGCGGAATCAAGATGGCGGATTAATTTTTGAAAATTCAATAAATTCAACAGAATTCAGTTGAATGGTGTTACTCGGGGGTTTTCGGGGTCGCTGATTACAAATCTGATGTCAGAATTGAAAAATTCAAAATGGCGGATCCAATATGGCGGCCGAAATATAAAAAAATGAGTCAATTCGCTTGAAACGTGTTACTCGGGGGTTTTCGGGGTCGCTGATTACGAATCTGAAATCCATTTTTGAAAATTTAAAATGGCGGATCCAAAATGGCGTACGAAAAAATTAAAAATCACTTGAATTGAAATGAAATTCGTTACTCGGGGGTTTTCGGGGTCGCTGATTACGAATCTGAAGTCAGAATTAAAAAAATTCAAAATGGCGGACCTAATAGGGCGTAAGATTAATAAAAAAAACCATTAGAAATGTTTAAAACTTGTTATTCTGGAGTTTTTTAAGTTGTAGATCACGAATTTGTCAGCAGAGATTAAAGAAGAAAAATATTAATAAAAAAAATCGCTGAATACGAATCAAAGGTCAGAATTCAAAATGGCGGATCCAATATGGCAGAAGATTTTTTTTAAATCGATTAAATAAACTGAATATTGCTACTCAATGGTTTTTGGGGTCGCTGAATATGAATCAAAGGTCAGAAATAAAAAATTCAAAATGGTGTATCCAATATGGCGGAAACTTTTTTCAAAAAATGACTAAAAAAATGAATATTCTTTCTCGTAGGTTGGGGATCGCCAAATTCGAATTTTAACGGACTTTCTTAAAAATATGGTTTTCTGATGCGGTCGGGTATATACGCTGGTTATTAAAAATTTATAATAAAAATTCACAATGGTAAAATCTTAAAGAGCATTAAGCCCTCTTTAATTTCTGACCTAGAAAAAAAAATTTCGAGAGTATTAAATTCTTTAAATCGTGACTTCTTGATCATGCTTTTTTAGGTAGGATTGATTATTCAAGATATTAAATCAATTTTATGAGGCTATGTTGCAAAAGGCTTGTAGCAAAATCCTTCTTCAGTATTTCGAAAAAAATTGAAAATGGTCAAGATTTCTATTGTCAGCAGAATTTTGTACAAAACTTTGCATTCCTTACCACTGTGCGCCTGCGCGATTCTCACGTGATAGCTTGAGCCAATCAGCCCTCTAATCGACGCCATCATGCAGTTGCCCCCTCCACACGGAGCTACAGAGGACGGACAGAACATCAAACTATTTACTATTACTATCTCACTACGACTACGGTTGTGCAGTTATCACCATACTAGAAAATACTTTTTCTCAACGTTAATAAATACAGTCTAGATCCGATATACTTACAGTAGAATCTACTTAATTCCTTTTCATTCATTTATTTTTCCTTATATCTTTATTTCATTTTCGTCTTCTCTTTTAATAAATTTTTTTCTACATTCTAAAGAATTTTAAAAACTTTTGCAGAGTCTAAAATTTTTAAATTAATTTCAATCAGTCCTTTTTAGGACTTTTATCTTGATAAATAGCATTAAAACTAATTTCAATCAGTCCTTTTCAGGGCTTTTATTTTGATAAATAGCATTAAAACCAATTTCAATCATTCCTTTTTAGGACTTTTATTTTGAGAAATAGCATTAAAACCAATTTTAATCAGTCCTTTTCAGGACTTTTCTTTTGATAAATATAGTATTAAGCCAAAGTCCTTAGCCATTTTTTGAAAAAATCTTCCGCCATATAGGATCCGATATTTTAAAATTATTTAATTCCGACCTTTGATTCGTATTCAGCGCTTTTTTTAATTAATATTTTTCTTCTTTAATCTCCGCTGACAAATTCGTGATCTACAACTTAAAAATCTCCAGAGTAACAAGTTTTAAACATTTCTAATGGTTTTTTTTATTAATCATACGCCCTATTAGGTCCGCCATTTTGAATTTTTTAATTCTGACTTCAGATTCGTAATCAGCGACCCCGAAAACCCCTGAGTAACGAATTTCGTTTCAATTCAAGTGATTTTTAATTTTTTCGTACACCATATTGGATCCGCCATTTTGAATTTTCAAAAATGGATTTCAGATTCGTAATCAGCGACCCCGAAAACCCCCGAGTAACACGTTTCAAGCGAATTGACTCATTTTTTTATATTTCGGCCGCCATATTGGATCCGCCATTTTGAATTTTTCAATTCTGACATCAGATTTGTAATCAGCGACCCCGAAAACCCCCGATTAACACCATTCAACTGAATTCAGTTGAATTTATTGAATTTTCAAAAATTAATCCGCCATCTTGGTTCCGCCATTTTGGATTTTTTAGTTCTGACCATATGTTTGTGTTCTGTCAACTCACAAATATGAAAAGTAGTTGTTTTGAATAATTTTGTTCTGAAAATGTAAAAGTTTTTCCAATTTAAATAAAAAAAAGCTTTTTTTACGTCACATTCCAGCCTGTGGTGGCCGCCATTTTGAAAATTTTAAAATCAGCCACTCGGTATTCGATTCTACATAAAAAATGCTAAATTTTAAGCCCTAAGACTTTGCGATTGCTTTAAACCACGAGTGGACAAATCCATTTGCCTTTTCACATGGAATGACCCATATTTTTTTTTTCTTTGACCTTTAACCCCTTCGCAGTCGAGGCCAAAATCTCATAAGTGGACCCAAAATGTCAGTAAATTTTTTAATGACCAAAATTTGTACAAATATGTATACTATGGTATTTAAGGTCGCTGATTACGATTCCAAAGTCAGATTTAAAAAATTCAAAATGGCGGAGCCAATGTGGACGATTTTTCAAAAAATGGCAAAAATGATTTTAAAATACTTAAAAATTGTTACTCGGGGGTTTTTGGGGTCTCTGATTACGAATCTAAAGTCAGATTTCAAAAATTCAAAATGGCGGAGCCAATATGGCAGAGTCACCACTTAAACAGCGTAAAGAATAAAACAATTGACAATCGCGTTAAACATAAATGACAGTGACAGTACTTTGGAGGCAAGACCCAAATAACAGGACAAGCCGGGATGGAGATGAGAAAAAACAATTGCTAACTAATCGCGTAAAACAGAGCACTGATGGTCTCTGAAGGAAAAGGAAACGAAATAAAAAGACTGTCATCACTTAAACAGTGCTGATAATAAAACAATTGACAAACACGTTAAGCGAATATGACATAAATAAGAATAAACAAAATGAATGACAAAACATTGTGACTAATAAGTTTCAGACAAATTTGGTCAATTGTCAACATATTTGATCACCATATTGGATACGCCATTTGTAATTTTTCCGATTTGACACCAAATTCGGAATTAAAAACTCCAAAAACCCCCGAATAACGAGTTTCAAGCGAATATGGTCAATTTTAAAAATTTTTGGTCGCCATATTGGATCCGCTATTTTGAATTTTCAAATTTTGTAATTCTGACATCAAATTCGGAATTAGAGACCCCAAAAACCCCCGAGTAACGAGTTTCAAACGAATATGGTCAATTTTCAAAATTTTTGGTCGCCATATTGGATCCGCCATTTTGAATTTTGAAATTTTGTAATTCTGACATCAAATTCGGAATTAGAGACCCCAAAAACCCCCGAGTAACAAATTTTAGGCCAATTCCGTCTTATTATTGTTCTCAAAATTTATGTGCGTATATATACACGTCATCGACACTTTGAGCCCACCTATTCCATGACGTGTATACACGTCATCGACACCCAAGGGGTTAACTTAGTTATGACCATTAAATGTGCTTCCTTCGTGAATCGTACTCACGTAAAAACAATTATTATGATTATTAATATAAAATCTCGCGTAGTGTTGTCACAATATAATTTAAAATCACAAACAAATGTTCTAAGCCTTTTCATTTTATTAATGTTGCTCAACAACCAGTTTTAACAAAAAACATATATTTATTACCTTAGTTACTTTTTCTTTATGAACCTCTTCTAATCTCATTTGCGCCTGTTTGTAACTTTTATGTTCTGATCTTGGATCAAAATTAGTCATGTATGGGTCCTGAGTGCCTTGTATTTGAGGAGTCGTTGAAATAACTGTACTTACAGGAAACAGTACTGTCGTCTCATAGTATTTTTTTTCTACTGATGAAACTGACGTTGAAATTTTCCTGAAAAAATAAATATTACTCTCCATAATGAGCTTTAACTCAGTCCAATTCAAAAGTTTTTTCACTTTCAATTTTTTAAATATTTTTTCAATGATACCTCAATTATTTAAAAGCATAAAAGAAAAAATCGACCAAGGAGAACTCAAATAAACTTAAAGAATAAAATTATAATATTTTTATTGATTACATAGGAGAGCACTGATTTTTGTGCAGAAAGTGTCGAATCTATTTATGGAAGATTTAATTTTTAATCTTTTTAAGATTTTTTTAAATCCATAAATTAAAAGTTATCCTAAGCTATTATTTTTGAGAAAAAGAGGTCAAATGATAAGAAAACTCGCGTTATTGACAATAATTGAGTATTTTTAACAATGAAAGAAAATTTGATAGAGCCATTTTCTTGGAATTAATTTTAGTTTTAAATTACAACTACAATCCCTGTAAAGCACATACCTGCACTATGAACTTAATATTATAAAAAATATATGGAATTTTTGAACTGCATTAATTGAAAAAAACAAGGGTGCCCACAACCGGAACATGCACCTTTTTTTTAAAAAGACCAACAATTTATGTGGTTTTGATTTTTTGGTAAAATTCAAAATTAAACCACAAAATTACTATAATAATCTTTGAATTCTTTCATTCGTTTATACTGTCCGGGCTGGATCAGCTGTAAAGGATAGTTTTATATGACTCTTCTTCGATAGAAAGATGAAATTTTGATGCAAGCAATGAAATGTCCGCCTATAAGAAATATTGCAGTTCCGATTGTGCGAAAAATTTCAGCGAAATGTTGAGGAAATGTGAGGATGAAAAATTACTGACATATTATTTTTTAATTTTTGCAAAATAAAAAAATGAAATATGTTACAAATTTTTAAGTGAAATATTTTGAAAAGGTTATTCATTAAAATTCTAGAAATATCGTGTAGCGAGATTAATGTATGTGAGTGTTAGAATGTATGTGTGAAGGTATGAATGAGTGTGCTTAGTATAAGTGGGGATTCAATTAAGTGGAGAAAAGAAATTTTGTGAATTTTGTTAATTCGAGTGGCAGTATAAAATTGAAAAGATTATAGTAAAGACCGTTATAAGTGTTTAGATATATATGTGATATTGATAATTATTTGAGGACAGCGATTAGCACCTTATATGTATACAACCACGATATTAGGTAAATCAGCGTTTAATTGAATTTTTTATATTTAAATTATAATATTTAACGCAGCGGTTATGTTGCAGCGTGGTTTTTTTGTTACGCTTTGGATAAAAGGGAGAATTGAATCCCCATGATTCTCTTATCCAGCATAAAGTTGGATAGTGCTGCAATTGGAATTAAGAATTAAGTGGACGGATAATCGATGCTGAATATTTTTATCGGTGAACGAAAAATTAAATATCTGCTCATCGATTCATCCGTATCGCCTAAGGAAGGATAAACTACAACCATTCCTATTTCCAAAATCGTGGCGCTATTTTATTCCAGGAGTAAAAAATAGGACCACTAATTTGGCGAGCGATCATCGGCTCGATTTAACTTTGTGGTGAGAAGGAATAATTATAATTTGATTATTTTCTTGAGCATTGATATGCGTAGGTGCGCATAGTTGCTATATATATACTTATTGACGAAATTCGCATATATACTGTTTAAAGCGTTGGGTCTTGTCTTATGTGTGTCTATCAATGTGTGCGTATGTGTATGAAATTGTATAACTTTGTTTAAATTTAGTAAATGGAAGGATTGGCAGTCAGATAATTTTATGTCTTATAGGTAAATTCTAAATGAAATTTTTATACAAATTGTAAAAACAATTTAGTAAGATTAATTATTATCAAAGTAAATTTATTGGTTGATTAATCGCATTTATTTCTTGTATTCATTGTGAAAATCATTACAATCGAAAGGAAATATTTCAAAATTGTTAAAAATACATATTTAGGCAATAAGATCCGGATATATTTGTGAAAAATATAAAAATGAATTACAGAAATAAATTGCGGTAGTGATTGTGAAAATATGTGACAAAATTTGTTTATTTAGTTAAATAGTGACAATTTATTTATTATAAAGAAATTATTACACGTAAGATGCAACAAGCGAATTAATATATATGAACAGTAAGTATAAAAATAGAATACTTAAAATAAATAAGATCCGCTGAGGTACGCAAGAATATACTATAAAAGTCAATTTGTTACAAATTTTACTTGACTAGACTTTCAATATTCGTAACTTTTTAATTGAATTCTTAATTTACTGCATAATTATTATTGAACAAAAAATTTGTTTCGCAGAATTGTCATTTGAGAACATTTCTATTTTTCAGAGTATTCAAATGTTTAAAATTTAATTTGTCTAAAATTGCAAATGACAAAATGTACATATGAACCGATCGCCGGAAAGACGGCATACGTCGATTTAAGACATTTTGAGATATGTTAAATTTAAGATTCATTTGTAAGTTATAATTTAAGGCATCATTATCGAAAATTTTTTTCTTTTACAAAGGTTTACTATCGGTCAACTAATTTTGTCACATATTTTCACAATCACTACCGCAATTTATTTCTGTAATTCATTTTTATATTTTTCACAAATATATCCGGATCTTATTGCCTAAATATGTATTTTTAACAATTTAGAAAAATTTCCTTTCGATATTTCTAGAATTTTAATGAATAATCTTTTCAAAATATTTCACTTAAAAATTTGTAACGTATTTCATTTTTTTATTTTGCAAAAATTAAAAAATAATATGTCAGTAATTTTTCATCCTCACATTTCCTGAACATTTCGCTGAAATTTTTCGCACAATCGAAACTGCAATATTTCTTATAGGCGGACATTTCATTGCTTGCATCAAAATTTCATGGACCTTTCATTGAAATATTTCGAATCTTTCAATGAAATATTCAGGACAAATTCAGGAAATTTTATGTGCTGTGTGCGAGGGAACAAAAAAATTGCATTCACCTTTTTTTTAATAATTTACACCTATTTAACACACTTGAAAAAAAGTAGAAAATCACTTTTTCCTTCATTTTTTCAAGATATTTTGATTCTGCTCACTGTTTCAAAATTGACTATATTCAGATCAGCAATATCTATTTGCTGTCAAAAATTATGTAGGGGTGCCCACAACCGGCACTCTTCACTTAAAATAAAAAGAATCTGGTAGCCCTCTGCGGGGGCGGCCACATTCTCATCACGCGCTTCGCTCGCTAGTTTGAGAGCGCCCAGGGGCGCGCGAAGGACAGTCGCCCCGCTTCGCGGTTTGATATTAATGTGCGCTTCGCGCACATTGTCGTAACGTCGCGCTACGCGCTCCGTTTGTCTATTACAATTAAAAAACCTAGTATCATTAATTACTTTTTATCTACCCTGTATAATTAAAAAATTCCTCGATTACATTAAAGGATTGTATTAATTATACTATCAGAAAGTAGATCTAATAGTCTTTATAAAAATGAGTTAAATTATATAAACAAGGCTTAAATGTATTAAAATACATTTTTTATTCAACAAAAAAAGAGAAAAGCGGCGCTACTGCTGTTCAAACTTAGTTCTTTAATTTTGCGCCGTGGATTGTCTAGACCTTGTAATTAGGTAACGAAAATCAACGAACAAAATTTTTTTAATAAAATAAGTTATTCCCCTTCGAAATACTTTCAATTGAGTAAAAGAAAAAAATAATTGAAAATTTAAAAAAAATAACTTTAAAGTAAATGAATTATGAAAAATTTTTAATTTATGTGAGGTTCCGCCCTCATGTTTTTATTCCTAAAAAATTTTCTCGTACAATTTATGTAAGAGGCATTTTACGTGTAATGTCCTGAGTTAAAAAATTGATTTCTCGAAAAAAAAGTGAAAATTAAGGAAATTGTTGTCCTTCTAGATAGTAAAATCACCCCAAAAAATTTTTTGACTTTTTTGAAATTTTGGGAGATAGAAAATGGTCAATTTTATGAGTTTTCCCTGACACCTCCTACTATTTGAATTTTTTTTGTCTGCAAATGCATTAAAAAAAATTTTGATTATCAATATTAACTTGTTAACTTTTTCTCAAAATCTTGTTTTCGCACGTAAACCTTCAATTGATAACTTCCGAAATATGATAACTTTATTTATTTGTAAATTATTATGTACAAAAAACACGCCAAAAAAAATTTCTAATTTTTTGAGTGAATTATATTTATTTGTGTTAATTCAAAGTAATTTGAATAAATATAAAAAAACACAATGACAAAAATTCTAGTCTAGAACAGACTCCTAAATTAATTAAAAAATTATTTTAATTTTAAACCATTCAAATTCTAGTAGAAAAATCGTTTGTGGGCCCAAAACAGTAAAAAAAAAGTTTCCAAAAAATATCAAATCATTGTATTAAAAGTTTTGGGGTCGCTAAATCCAAATTTAAGGTCAGATTTAAAAAAACCAAAATGGTGGACACAATATGGCCACCCAACATGACAGAAAAATTTAAAATTGATTCGGTTCGTTCAAAATTCGGTGATATGGGGTTTTTGGAGACGGTGAATACAAATTTAAGGACAGATTTAACAAATTCAAAATTTGGATTCATAGACTCCAAAAACCCCGATGGTTGGTTCGCCCATGGTCGGCCCAACTAGGGCTGCACGAGAGTCGTCCGCCCTAGTTGGGCCGAGCATGGTAAATATTGTCACGCAAAGGTGGCCCGACTATGGCTGCCAACGTCGGCAGCCCTAGTTGGGCCGACCATCTGGCACGACGGTCGGCAGCCACAGTTAGACCAACCTTGGCAGCCCTAGTGGGTTTAACTATGGAAAACAATGGCCGGCATGATTAAGGCACCCACAGTTGGGTCGACTATGGGGAACTATGGTCGGCATGACCTAGGCTGCCATAGTTGGGCCAACCGTTGGAGACGACGGTTGATTAATTTTCTTATCTAAATAAGTTTTATTTTTATAATAATTTTTTGCCAACGCCAAAGTGATTCGATATGAAATAA